TGATTTTACTTTTCCAGGTTTTGTTTATCCTACAATGCATTATGCTCTTGTGGGAATACTCCAGTGGATTTCACCATTCTGTATTTTCTTCAAGAGATATGGAGAAAAATGTCATTTTCTTTTTAAACAAACTGTTCTGCATTTGGAGCAGTGAGATGCATCATGAAAACACAAAACACGAAGCAACAAAGATAGGGTTAGCATTTTTTTCAGAAAGAATTGGTTTTGCAGACTCAAAGCTATAATTTAGTTTTACCTGCTACAAAACAAAAGCTGTCTTACCACACAGTTTCAATGTTAAGTATATGTCTCCTGATGGAGTTTGGGCACCTTTCAGCCTTGATAAATGTTTTATAAATTTAGGAAACTCCTGCAGAAAATGTCTTCCATTACCTAGTTACTGTTACTTTTACAAATGCATATGATGTTTCTAGTTGGGATGCATGCTTATTATATAGAATGGGTTTGCTCACACTGATTTTCTTGGTGCGCGTTGAAATTATATATATTTCTGAGGAGGCAATTCTTGGCAGCTATCAAAAGGTGAGATACACATATTCAGCGTTCTTCCTGTTTAAAGCTGCTAAATTTTCCAGGCAATATCCCATACCTTGCCCAATCTGACTACTGCAAGTAGTGGGCTGCTGTGGAAAGGAGGAGCCAAAAATGGTCTTTTTACAGCTGCACACACACCAACAACTAACACAAAATTGTCGTCACCAGATTTCACACAATCACCAGGGTCGGAATGGACCTCAAGGATCATGACTCTCCAACCCCCCTGTCACTTGCAGGGTCACCAACCTCCCCGTTTAATACTAGACCAGAGTAGAGTGGCTTCTGGTCATCTGGAGTGCTTCAGACCTTTGGGTTAGAAGCACAGAATCAAAGTGTCTTGAAGACAGATGAATGAAGCCCAGTATCTTAGGGCTGTGCAAGAAGGGGCACATTCTAAACACTGAACAGTAATGGATCAAAAGGATATGAGAATCCTGATCCAAGGAAGCAAGCAACTGGAAGTTACCACAGTCTATTTGTGCATCATAGGAGAAACAGAGGATTTCTGGTGGTCCCTGTGTGCTACCATTTGCAAACCACAGATTGTGTCAAACACCCTAGCCAGAAATAACCTTCCTGTTGTCCATGGGATGCCACTGTGCTGGACCAGTGTGCCTTGCTAGCGTACCCAGCTCCTAATGATGTCTTAGCATTTCCAAAGTTCACAAGGTTCCCATCAAGGCTGAGGTTGGCAGGGACTTCTGGCCCAGTCCAAGTAGGGATACCCAAAGCAGGGTGCCCCGGCCCACATCGAGGTGGCTTTTGAAGATCTCTTAGGATAGAGGCTCCAGCTGGGTGGCCCCCAGCATAATTGCAGGTTAGTCAGTAGGGATATGCTCTTTATCTGTTTTGTGTATTTCTCGGTGTCCAACCATACTGTCACCCAAAAGCAAGAGGACACCCAATTTCTGTTTTGTTTCCTTCATCCTTAACTTTCTCCATCTCCTGACACAGATTGTTTCCAGCTGTCCACGTGCTGATGATAGCAGCTGCAGCAAGAACCTGGTTCAGCACTGCTCTGCTCTCATAAACAGGAATGCAATTACGTACTTTAGCAAAGCATCCACCCACAGCACTCCTTTTTCTTCCATGGATTTCCTTTTCCTGCATGAGAAACCTTGCTCGTCCACACCCTGTGCTTCTTTGGTGAGGAATCTAGCACCCTGTGCTAGATTCAAGAACTGCCTGAGAAGAGCATTTAGTCAAGAGTACAGAGGAAAGAAAATAGTCAATTTATCAATTACATTTAAAAGCAAAAGTAAGGCATTTTGTAATATTTTTTTTTTTTTTTTCAAATAGAAAGATAAATATATCAGATATGCCAAAAAATGGTAAGGCATTTTTCCCCATGCATGATTTTTTTTCTCCTGAAACAAGAAAATACTACAGATCAGTACCTGAAGTGGATTATTATTCATCACCGTGTCCAGCTTCCACTTCATAGGAGGGTCAGGGAGGAAACAGCTCAAGGCTGTGTTACCACTGCTCTTCCTGAGATCCTGTGGGATCCCAAGTGGAGCCAGCTGCATCAAGAGCCTCCATCTCACACAGCTGCAGGCTGCCACCAATTTCAGGCAAGGTCCTCAGGACTCCAGCCCCTGCTGAGCATCACCTCAGTATTCTTATTACAATGCTCTCATCAGTACCATTTACTGCTGGGAGAGATTGGCAGCTGCACAACAGCAACTGCAGCCCACTTTTTGTTCAGAGGGGCTACAAACCCTTGCTGCTCAGGATGGTAAAGTTGTTTCCCTGCAAAGCTATTCTGGAGTATAGCTATTTTCTCTGACCTGTTACGGCTGTGGAAGAGCTCAGAAATCAGCCAGACCTAAGAGGTATAATCCTTCCTCAACTGGAAGGCACCAAAGCAGCTCCTGCCCCCTGCTCTGGCAAAATTTGAAGCCCAGCTGCTAACTGCCCTTTCTCAGAGCAGCCTTGGCCACCCAACTCTGCTGAGCTCAGCAGTAGCACAGCTGAGGTCTGAGCCATAAGCTGGCTTCGTGCATGGATAAAAATAGTAAGGCACAAATAACTTTTACACTGAAATAAGGGTAATCCTCACGTACCCATTCTTTTTCTCTGAGAAGCTCTCAGATATACAAAGGAGCAGAGACTAATGCAAAAATACTCTTTCAGCCACAGCACTACATGGCACTTGTAGTTCTCATTTATTCCTACACAGACTTCTTGGGCATGGAAAGTTTCTGGTGGCCTCAGGCAAGGAACACCCCAGAGAGTAATCTCAGCCCACCTGTGGGATTGTAGGAAGGAGCCAAAGCAGGATGGGAGCCTTTCTTTCCAACTCAAATGTTTGAATGTTCCCCATCACAGTGGAAATCTTTAAGACAGCTCATTTGACATGATGCTGAGCCAAAATATGGAGAACAGTTTGTGAAATTTCATCCTTTTGAAACAGAGCCCCAAGCTTGCCTCCTACTCATACCCGAACCTAATCTTATCCTGAGCGCACTCCCCTCTCCTCCTCTTGTCCTTCCCAGGCATTAAGCAACTTTGTTGTGCACATGCCACTTAGCATGTGAGAGCACAGAGGTGTCAGCAGGCCTATGAGGTGCCCTGGTAAATGACAGCAGAGGAAATGGTACGCCAATATTACTAGGCCATTTCTTGTTCCTCTGCTGAGGACCAGTCTATTATCCAGATTAATCCCCAGAGGTTCTTATTTATCAGCATAACATTTGCTTCATTTGCCACTAATTTCCAAAGAACACTTTGCCCAGGAGACCTGTTGTCCTAATGCAGAGTTTCAAAGAAAGATTAATACTTCCCATTCCAAATGCTGCTCTCATTCAGACTAGAATAACAGAGCAGGGGTTTGGCTCTGAATACATGGAACTTTAGGAAGAGACAATGTGTGCTTGTGAACGGAAGGCTGAACAAACAGCACTGGATTGTTGCTGGAGTGGTATGCAGAAGTCCCCTGTTCAGGAGGATATTCCTCACTGGTCTCTTCCCCACCATCCTGGGGTATCCTCTAGGAAGGAGCCTTGCATTTCTGGCCTGCACACTGTGCAGCTTTCTTATTATTAGAAAGCTCCCTACGTGAGGCACTGCTCCTCCAGCCATTAAACATGGCATTTCCTTGCAAGGAACCAGCAGAGCGTGATTCCGTCTGCTGATCACGTCACACTGTGTGCCCGCTTGAGGCAGATAATACACTTCTGTAATTTTAGGATGGGAAAAATCTGCTGCCTTTATTTTACAGCACTTTACTGCTCTGAAAAATGGCACCTTGATGGCTGTCAAGTAACACATGTCTTTCATTAGAAATGTGCTTGTTTTATACATAATTCCAGGGTTTGCCTTAGATTATGTCATCTGGATAAGTACACTGGTCAAACTTTAAAGTGGCTGAACACCGGCAGTCAAGGTAGTTCTATTTTCTTATGAATTGATGCATGCAGCTTTTCATCACTCACTGCCTTAATCATCCTTGCTTTGCTCTCATGATACCTTAGCATTTTATCACAAACTGCACCGCCCCTGGATGCACTCATGGGCCAAAGAAGCAGAGGCACAGGCAGCCCCAACGCATCCCCACAGCTTCTCTGCACAATGGAGCCAGCTGCTGATTGTGTGAGCTGTCTTCTGTGCTCACACACCAAGACACGAGATTATCCAGTGCCTGAAAACACCACACCCAGCCAATGCCCTGAGCTGGGGGTGAGCAGAACTGCTCTCTCCTAACAGCGAAAAGGAAGCAGTAGACTGAAAAATAGATGGGAAATGATTTTGCCATTCTGCCTCTAACAAAATGTAATCCCGAGCTGATTTGTTTTTAAGAAGTTCTGGCTGTGTTCCAAAGGGCTGCAAGTTCCAGAGATGAGCTATCCATTTCCTCTAGTCTTTTTAACATGGCTGCAGCTGAACTTTTAAGCCAGATCATCCCAATTTACCAGGCACGAGATTATTGCTAGTGTGCAAAATGAGGTAGAGAATTAAAAATAGCCCTGCCGGTAGCTGTGAAGTCACTTGATCTAAGGCTTAGTTAGAGGTTTATGTGTCATTTGCAAGTACGTGAGTTCCAAAATAGGCTGCTTGGTAAGTCTGTGCTGCAGGGAGCTGTGAAGCACAGATTTGACTTATTTCTTTTCACTAGTCAGCTTAGGATGTAGAGGCACGGGAAAAAAAAAAAAAAAAAGGAAAAAAAAAAAAAGAGGCAGATTTCAGAATGAATTAGCTAGGTGATTGAACTGCACGTGATAAAAGCAAGTACTTGTAGACTCTCTGCTCAGCTCAAAGCAGTTGTTCTGTGCATGTGTTCAATGCTCTCATACAGCGCAGCACAGCAAATGTGTGGCCCACGAAGGCAGAAGTGATTAAATTCAGCTTTGTAGAAATCATGCAAGCAAAATTAAAAATACCTAATGTTCTACAGGTTTGTTTTTTGTGTGTGTTTGGGGGGGAGGAGTGAAGGGTTTTTTTTTTGTTGTTGTTTTGTTTTGTTTTTGTAAAATGCCTCCAGTCTTAGCAATTTTAGCTAGGGAATTAGTTGAGTAAGGAGAGATTTTAATCAGGCATCCAAAAGGAAGGAAGCAAAGCTCCAGGGTAAGCTAATACACTTTCTTCCTTCCAAAATATATCATTTTAAATTTAAAAAAAAAATATTCGTTTCTCAAAGTATTTTTTACTTTTTCCAGGCTGGATGTAATTCTTCCTTTTATCACTGGGAAAACACCATACATCTAACTGCAGCTCATAATTCTTCTGTAACTACAAATGAAGAGCAGGTTTGCTGCTCTGGACTACATGCCAGACAGTCTGCAGTCACATGACAGCAGAAGCTGCTCACACCTCCTAATCCCTTCTTGTTTGTTGTCTCTTTTTTGCGTGGATGTGTTTTCATTCCCACATAAAGAAATAGGAGTTTCAAAGCAAACAGTGCAAAAGGAAATTTATTTCACATATCTCCTGTGCTGCTGAAAAGAGACTGTAATTCTGTGCACGTTAGAATACATTAGCAATTTATCACAAGGCATGTGCAGTTTAGTCCTTCTGAACAGCTGACTCTTTCATTCTTCTTGCTAGCTAACAACATCTTGTTTTGGTTGCTGAGATGCCAGAGGTTTTAAAGTAGAACTTCCTATTAATCTCCAATAGTACAAATGCTACCATTAAACACCCAGCAGGTTTTCAGCCACTGCACCTAAAGCATCATGGTTTCACTGTTTTAATACAACAAAGAGACGCAAATCACAAGGAGTTGTGCTGATTGATAGTACCTGACAGACAAATACGGCTTGCCAATGTCCCAAAGAAGAGCTTGATATTACATGAACACTTAGCATAGGTGATTCCATTTCTCATTCTTTAGTTTTTAAGGGCTCCACTCAGCCCCCAAGCTCCCCTTCCCTGAGCATCTTCCCAGCTTTGGATCAAAAATGCAGAACAGGAGTCCTGCTGTGGGGTGATACAGGAGCTTGAGGGATCATTTCAGGTAGCTCAGCTGAAAATGCCTTCATTGTTTAGCAGCCTGCAGAGCAGCCAATCTCCTTCCCCCATGCCAGTGCTGTTCTATGAAATGTGTGTTTTTCATAGACGTAGGTCTGCAAATTTCATCTGATACGTAAATATCTAGAAAAATGAAGCCATTTATAAATACTTCCCCTCCTTCCTCTTCTCCTTCCCTGCCCTGCTCCTGAGATATGCCTTTTGGCAGGGTGAACCTCGCATATCATAGGCTTAGTCCACATGGCTCCAGAGCAAACAATGAAATATTAAAGGTATAGTGGTGGTGGGCAGTTAAAGCCAAAAGGAAAAATTAAGAAATAAATCAAAAAAAAAAAAAAAAAAAAAGAGAAGCAGTTTTAAACCTAATGGTATATCTGTTGGTTTAAAACTTGTCCAACAAGGACCAGAACCCCGAAGTACATTTCTGTTATCTGACTTTCAGTTATTGAGTGTCCAACCTTTTATGTATTCACAGGCATTTTCCACAGGTGCTCAATTTCCATTATATTTAAGCCAACCCATTGGTTTCAAAACTTGACACCAAAGGATCTCTCCAGGCTTCACAATTTGAGCAAGCTGTGCAATCACAGCAGCAGCTCTTTTGATAGAGATTTGCTGTCTCAGGATGAGTTTTGGTTGGGGCACTGCTCATCTGCAGCAAAACAAGATTTTGGATGTAAACACTGCACTGACTTTGCCTCCCCCATGTGTAGTCACACCAAGTGGGGACTTAGATTTCTGTCAGGACTCTTGCACACCAAACACACTGCAGCTGCAGGGGCTGCATCACTTCAAAACCACCTGGGGCTCATCTGGTGGAGGGACAGCAAGGAAGCAGAGGGCATTTGTGTGCCAGCCTCGTGCTCTGCTCTTCCACCTTTCTGCTTGGATTCTGCTTGGCAGAGTTGGATGCAGGGTTGCCATTCATAACTGTAATCTGGTGCCAATCCTGTAAAAGCTTCCTTTTAACAGAGATAAGATAATGCAGTCTAACAGTTCTTTAACAAAATAGGATTAATTAGCAGGAAGCTGGCTGCTTAATTCACCATTGACCTGTAAAGCCTAGTAAGAATGAGGTCACCGGACATAATAGAGCTATTTAGGAGTTTAGTGCAAACTCCAATAACAGAAATCATCTTCTAAAGCTCGCTCTGATAGAATAAAATTTGGAGGTAAGGAAACATTGCTTATTAAGGACAGATCTAATCTTCAAAACAGTGCACTCTGTATACTCAAAAGTTTATTCCTTCCAAAACAAACAATTGCAACATCTAAGCATTCAGTTGGTGGACACCAGACTTTGACATTCAAACCCATCAAGTTTTTGTATCCCTTCCCCCTAAGTCTGTTATATAAAGCTCACTTTTTCTATGACCTTAATATCTCACAAGATCTTCACATTATGAGACTCTTATTTCATGTTTCAACACACAAGAATCAGTACTCTCAGTGCATATCCTGAGCAATAGTCATGATCAAATGAAGTTTGTTTAAGGATCAGAAAACAATAGTGTACATATATTTCCATAGCTCCCCAATTTCCCTCCAGCTTCTACCTACTTTTCCACTTGTTTTTTCTGACAGCAGCTGTTTGCAAATTACAGTTTCTTTTACTAATACACATATTGATATATAACATTTTTGCCAAAGCAGTGTTCCTGTTTTCACCCAAGAATTTCTTATTTCTTCCCCCTAAATTATGTCCTTTCTGTTGCCCACAATGTTGAAAGTCAGGATTATCAAGCCGGGTTTCAGTTGATTACAGCAAACATCATCTTCGAAAGTGGTAGGTTCAGAGACATTTACAGATCAGAAATAAATACCACCCAAAGCCATTCTCAGCAGATAAATGCATCTGTTTCTGAGCACTGTGGTCAGGTAAAAAACCACACAACATCCAAGCTACAGAACAGTCAAAAAAAGTATTGATTTTGATATACCAATTCTATTAGTGCTCTGCTTGCAAAGCAGGGGGATGAACAGTTCCCCTTAGCTACCCATATGGAAACAAAAAGACTTTCCTCTTTAATTTCTTTTTTCATTTATGATTCCCTCCATCTTCAAAGCCTTCATGTAGTAACTGGCTACTGTCCCACCTATGCTTGCCAAGGAAGCTTGAACATATTCCTTAAGATGGCCAAAAAGGTCATTATAGTTTGAAAGAAAACATTTCTTCTACCCAGGAGCTCAGCACACCATGTCCCTATTTTTTCAGCCTGCTGCCAATAAGGGGAAGTGAGATCTCTTTTCAAACTCAATAACGAATAGTTTTGTGTGTCTACTACAAAAGATCAGGAAGCCAGACCCACTTTTTTTATTTAACACATGGAGCCAGATTCTCAGCTGGTATATGCTGAAATTGCTCTACTGATGCAAAGAAAAATATACTGATTAGCATCAGCCAAATTTCTGCTCTACATATTATGTTTGCAAAGTAAATGGCATAAATCATGGAAATTGTACTTACTTTTTCCATTTTGAGATATTCTTCCTCAGTATTCCCTGAGAAAACATTGTTGCCTTGTTAAGGTGCTAAGGATTCAATTAAAAAAAAAAAAAAAAAAAAAAGATAGGGTCAAAATACATCCACAAAACTTCAAAACTTTTCTAGTACTATTCATCTCTGTTACCTCTACAGTCACAGCGCCAAAGGGATGAATAGTTCCTCATTTCTTCTCCTGTCTATTATTGCTTTAGAATGTCAAAATTGTACATAAATGTGGAGGGAGGAATGCATGCACACACACAATGCGCTCTGCATTGTGTTACACACCTCTCTTTTTCTCTGACTTCCAGAGCTCATTCTGCTGGAATTTCCATCAGCTGAGTATATCCAAGTGGCAAGATGATTCATCAGCAGCAAAGGAAAATATCTAAACTTTGTCCTTTAGGGAAACTTATTAGGAGAGAGAAAACTTTGCACATAGGAGAAGAGAGGAAAAAAAAAGAAAAAATTTTAAAAAAAGGAAAACAAAGAGAACATTTGCTAAATTTTATTGAATCTTATTGCACCATCATCTTTCAGCATATCAGTTTAGAAACTACATATCTGCAGCTCACATATTCAGGAAATGTACTTTCATGCAGTATTTAGGGATGTGGATGCAGCTTTGCAAAAACTAGTGTTATTTGGTGGTAAATTATTAATGCTTTGATTCATTATTTTTTTTTCAAGTACACATACAATCACTGCAACATTTGTAGTGAGTAAACAAGTACTCCCACGCTGTGAGAGAAGATAGGGATATGTTCAAGGTGATAGCACAGATAGTTTACTTTGAAACTCAGATTAAATAAGTGTTTTTTCCCTGTTTAATAGATATCTGAGCTGGCAAAATGAGGGGAACAGGGAAGGGAAGGGAAGGGAAGGGAAGGGAAGGGAAGGGAAGGGAAGGGAAAGGAAGGGAAGGGAAGGATTATACCACAGACACAACAGGGCTATTAAACTGCATCACCTAATGGGAGAGCTCCTGCTGGTCTCATCCTTGAACACTTTCATTTGTGCTCAGCAGCTACAAGGATCCATGACCACACTCAGCAAGGAACCCAGCTTCTGTGGTGGTTTAAGCCCAGAGACATATGTTTGAAGGTCACTGATCCAGATCATTCCCTTCTTTTTCATTCTTTCATTCCTCTATCCAGGAGATACTATGTTTGTGGGCTCCAAGAGTTTATTTTGCACGTTTGTTCTTCCCCCTTTTTGCCCTATTCAATTCTTGTCCTGCTGCTTCCTTATCTCCTGAGCTCAGCAGCCTGGAGCTCGCACTTATTTCAGAAGTGGTGCTACAGCCATTGGTTGAAAGCATTTTTTTTTTTTCTCCTGAGCCTTGACCATCTGTCAACAAACATTGTGGGGGAGTGCTTGTTACCGTAACAGGTTGTGTGGAAAAACACAATACTGCTGTTCTCTCCTCCCTGCAATCTTCTCCTGGTTTGATAAACCTGAACTGTCCTTCATCTAAGGCCTATAAAATGGGTAAGCAGGAATCTTTATCAAATCAAAATGAGGGGGAACATTTTAGGGAGTAGGCCACACAACTGATGGGATTGCATGCCAAAAAACCCCCTCTGTATTGGCTAGGTTGAAGGGCAGAAATTCTAGCAGCAGGGTGCTGCTATCAAATCCACCAAGACATAACCTCATTTATTAGTCACCATATTGCCACCAATGAGAAAATGAATGGAAATAGTAAAGAAAATCAAGTTTCCAGAGAGATGGTCTTGAAATAGCTATGTGATGATCCCTTGCGTGTGTGCTGCCAGACTGTGGGGTCAGTTCTTGCCCAATACCCTGTACGTGAGAGACTGCAGTAAGGAAAAACTGCCTTAAAACATCAGCTAACATGCAACAGTCTTGCTTTATTATTTCATTTGCTGGCCCTCTTTAATTAGAGACATTAGGGGCAACAAGACAAAAAAGCTGCACAAGTTATGATAACCAGGAAAAATATATATATATCAGACCTCATGGGTAGGGGCAACTCTGGATTTTAACTGTGAAGTATTTGACTAAGAATATTTATTTAACCTCTAGGACCTTTCATGAAGGTGTTTTGCTGCAGTGAAGAAGTAAATATCATTGCTTTATTGAAACCATTTATCTTTCCTTGTCTTTCCTTAGGGTATAAGTGACCAATACCCTCCAGACATCACTTCTTCCGCATGCATTCAGAGTTTGCACTTGTGCAGTTTGTGTTTAGATTTGAGAAATTTCCCCAAAATCCAGAACCACTACAGTAGTTCCACAGAGTACTCTGTGCTTGCTTCTCTCCACTTACAGACATGATTCAAAACACACTGAAATCAGTGTGTGACTTTTCACCCACTCCACTGAGCTTTAGATCAGGATACCCACACCTCTGCCTGTGGCTCCCCTGTGAACTCAGCTGTAACCATATCCAAAAGTGGAAATTGATACAGGCACTTGGAGCTTGCCTGGTGCTGCCTTAAAGTACTCATCTTTGTCACATTGATATTCAGCTTGTTCCATATGCTCAGTTTAGTATAGATCCTGCAATTGGTGGGGTTTTTACCAATAAATGTTTGCTGTCAGGAACAGTATTAACCTCACGAGCTGGCTTTCTGAGCTAAACAGCAGGATCAGAGGAACACAACAGAAATAAGGACTGTGGCTCCTCAAGGGTGCAACAAGACTGAGGGCTATGGGAAAGCAGCAATAGAGAAAGAAGGAAGGAAGGGTAAAGGAGGAGGCAAAAATATTAATACCCCTTATTGCTTTCTGAACATCCTTTTCATAACTGGAATTCTGTTGTAGCAGTGAGCCCACTCACAGTGCTGTGTGTCCCAGTGCCAGAAAAATGCAAGCATGAGTAGATGATGCATTTGTTTTGTGTTATTTGTTGTGCCATAAATATGAAGACGTTATTGTGTTCTGGGACCAAAGCTGTTCATTTGCTGTTGCTGCCGTATGAGGAAGAAAATGAAAACAGCGGGGAAAATCCAGAGGAAACACGTGATGCTATCAGCCATGTGCTGTGCATAGGCACTGTTTCCTCTCTTTCCTGAACCAGAAAACAGGATTGTAATTTCAGGTTCCAACTCAGACCCACAGCCCTGCTGAAGGTAATGTGTTCAGGCTAAGCTGGTACTTTCTGGCCTGTGCCCAACATTGGTAGGAGCTTCTTCCACTCAGATTGCTCAGCCCTATGCAGAGGCTGGAGCCCCTTAGCAGTCATCTTCAGGGGCATGATGATGTTCATGTCACTGAGCAGCACAGAACTGGCAGCTCTTGTGCTGTTCCTGGCAGGGTGAGCAGAGCCCTCCTTTATGCCTGCCTTCTCAGCATTGCCTCCTCAGGCAGAGAAGAAAATATGGCCTCAATTTTTATTTTTTTTCCCCACAAAGCCTTAAATAATGGAAGGAATTTTAGAAAAAGTTAAATTGAAATGGCTCTGAAGGTTTGAATGCTATATCCCATCTTCTTCTCATCCTCAGAAAGATGAGACATGAATTTTTATTTTGTATGCCAGCGTTAGTTTTAATTCAGCAAAAGTTCTTTGGCTGAGTGAAAAATGCAAAATCAGACAGTTTTCTGCATGAGAAAAAGCGAATCATTGCTGCTTGATAGCTCATTTCGTTTATTAAAACTGCTGGGCCAAGATTTATTTTTAATGAACTCTGATCAGTCACAGCCAGTGATTTCACAATTCATGTTAGTACTGTAGGCATTTGTTGCACTGCAAACAGCTCATTTGCTTATTTTCTCGAAGATTTTTTTTTTCATCTGCATTGAAATTGGTCACACAGGCTTTTATGGGATTTTTCAAGCTAAGTATTTTTGTTCCCATGGCTAGAGGCCACATGTCAGAACCTTTTATTGTCACTAAAGAAAATAAATAAATAAATTAAAAAAAAAAATACAAACAAAAAAACCACTTGCTTTTATTATGCTAAGGCCTTTCATTTTTCTTTTTTTTCTTTTTCTTTTTCTTTTTCTTTTTCTTTTTCTTTTT